GTCTTCAAAATCGTCATCTGAAATCATCTCTTTCATCGGACTCTAATTAAACTTTGGCTACAATCTCCGTAGACGATAATCCGGTACTTGTACCACTTTATTACTTGGAAAGACGACGTTGGGTCGTATTGTATACTTGCTTTGTGGCCCAATTTCATTAAGTCTAAAGGTGTGAAATATAACTGACCAAGTTTTTTGGCGCCGTTGCCGGGGATTGATTCGCTAAAGTTTTATTTTGAGTAAAGTAAAAGATTTGATTTTTCTTGTACCATCGGAATTATTTTTAAAAATGGTGTATGCCACGGTCACATCACAGGGAATTTTTTGAATTTGATCCCGACATTGAGAGAACGTTTCACCATAGAAGGAGGGCTCAAAGAGAATTTTTTGCTCTACTCCGTCCAAACATGGCGTTACTCCCCCAATCATTCCGGAAATACCGCATTTGGAAAACGAACCGCCGGGTTTTGAACCAATTCCACCATTCCCGAACTTTCAACAAGGACATCCACATCATGATAATGATAATAATTTGGACACAGAATCGGACCATAATGAACAACAAAGAGCACAAACTCCGAACATCATTAATTTGTCAAATTCCAAAAATGGAAGGATCATGGATTATGCTATTCCGCATTTTGAGCAATTGAATTTCGGGATAGTTAGACCACATATGAACGCTCTCCATTTCGAACTAAAACCGATAATGTTTCACATATTGCGAACGAATGGCCAATTTGCCGGATTACCTTCGGAGGACCCACATTCGCACTTAAAATCTTTTATGGAAATCACTGATGCTTTTCTGATCCCGGGAGTGTCAAATGACGCTCTCAGACTCACTTTATTTCCATTTTCATTGAGGGATTGAGCAAAAGCATGGTTTAATTATTTAACTCCGGGTTCTGTGCCTTCATGGAGTAACATGACGGAATTTTTTTTGCAAAAATATTTCCCACCAACAAGGAATGCTAAGTCCAGGAACGAGATCTTTCTTTTCAAACAAATGGACGATGAGGCTGTTCCTGACACGTGGGAAAGGTTCAAAGAGTTGTTGAGAAATGCCCACACCATGGCATTCCGTACTGTATTCAACTTGAGACGTTTTACAATGGGTTAAATCCCATGGAAAAATAAATGCTCGATGCGACTGCAGGCGGAGCCTTCACAGCTATGACCTATAATGAAGGATATGAAATCCTGAAAAAGATATCAGCAAACAATGGGCACTAGGCCAACCCACGTGCTCAATCACATAAAAAGACTGTTGGGATACATGATGTAGATGCATATACTGCATTAACAGCTCAGCTTACCTCCATGACAAACATGCTGAAAATTTTAACTTCTGGTCAGGGAGGACAGCAAGCTACTAATACACCAGTCCTATCTGTGCAGTGTGTGTGCTGTGGTGGGGATCATTCATATGAACATTGTACTCATAATTCTAAATCAGTAAATTATGTTCATAATAGAGCTAACCCCTATTCCAACAATTATAATGCCAGTTGGAGAAAACACCCGAACTTTTCCTGGAACAGTCCAAGTTTAAATCCATCAATCCACAAACAACAAGGAACTTCCAATTTCCAACCACAACATCATGGAAACAATTCTAACTCTCAGACTCACCAACAAAGTTTTCAGAATTCACAACCACCTTTTCAGACCAAACCTCCTCCACAGACAGAATCATCTTCTTTTAAGCAATGATTAAAGGACTTTTTGCACATGCACAAGCCCAAAACCAAGCTTTGATTAATCAACAAAGTGTGGCCATCAGGAATTTAGAGACTCAAGTCAGTCAACTTGCGCTTAACCAGAACAATCGAACCCTAGATACCTTGCCAAGTAATACAGAGGTCCCTAGAGACCTATATAAGGAACATGTGAAAGTAGTGACCCTTAGGAGTGGGAAGGAGTTGAAAGAAAAAGTACAAAATGATAGTACACCCAATTTGACAGAAGCTGATGCTACAGCATTGGTTCCTGCCAAAGAAAGACCGGTCCGACCCTTAGAGAAGCAGGCATCCGAGACCACCACTTCTGTCCCCCCTAGATCAGACTTTCCATTACTCTTTTCTGAGGATGCTTTAAAAAGTCAAAAGAGACTGAGGTTTTAGAGATCCCTAAGCTTGATGCTAACATTTCATCTGAACCTCCAAAGGGCACCACAAAGACCCAAGGCATTCAAGACCCATCTTGCTCAACTCATCCAAGCAAGAATGTGATAAAATCAGTCTCTCCTTATGTTCCTTACCCCCAAAGGTTGAGGAATCAAAAAGAGGAACTGCACTTTAAGAAATTATTAGATGTGTTTAAAGAATTGCACATCAACATCCCACTTGTTGAGGCAATTGAGCAAATGCCTAGTTATGCCAAGTTTCTGAAGAACATCCTAAGTAAGAAGAAGAAGTTGACTGAATATGAGACTTTAGCCCTTACCGAAGGATGTAGTGCACTTTTGACCAATAGCATACCCCATAAGCTCAAAGATCCAAGGAGTCTTACCATTCCTTGTTCAATAGGAGGGAAGGAGATAGGGAAAGCCCTATGTGACTTAGGAGCTAGTATCAACCTTATGCCCTTGTCTATTTTCAACACCTTAGACATAGGAGAGGCTAGACCTACCACAGTCACACTCCAATTGGCCAACAAGTCCATAGCATACCCTAAGGGGAAGATTGAAGATGTGTTGATGCAAGTTGACAAGTTCATATTTCCAGTAGACTTTATCATTCTAGACTTTGAGGTAGATAAGGAAATTTCCATTATTTTAGGAAGACCATTTCTAGCTACCGGAAGAACTTTGATAGATTTCGAAAAAGGAGAGTTGACTATGAGACTCCAAGACCATAAAGTCACCTTTAATGTCTTCGACTCTCTAAAGTACCCTGATTACTTGGAAAAGTGTTCAAGAATATCTGAGATAGAGGAAATGTGCTTTGAAGAAGGAACTCAGAAGAACTTTAAGTTGGAAGAGGAGTGTGATGAGGAAATAGAAGAGTGTGTTGAGGAAATAGAGGAAATAGGAAATGATATTGTCCTAGTGAATGCTGTAGCATTTGAGCTGCTAGAAAACTGTGAGCAAAAAGACTTTACCCCGTCCATTATATAACCACCTGACTTGGAGTAGAAGAAACTCCCATCCCATCTCAAATATGCTTTTCTAGGAGAAGAAGGCAAATTGTCTGTCATCATCTCATCTACCCTAGAATTGCATCAAGAAAAGAAACTTGTGGACATGTTGAAATTGCACAAAAAGGCCTTAGGATGGACCATTGCTGACCTTAAAGGGATTAGTCCTGCCATTTGTCAACATAAGATCATCTTTGAGGATAAGACTTTCACATCCATAGAACCTCAACGAATACTGAATCCTGTCATGAAAGAGGTAGTCAAAAAGGAAATTTTGAAATGGTTAGACACGGAATTATTTTCCCGATAGCTAGTAGTTCTTGGGTTAGCCCAGTCTAGTGTGTTCCAAAAAAGGCAGGGTTCACAGTCATCACAAATAATAAAAATGAACTTATACCCACTAGAGTTGTATCCGGTTGGAGAATATGCATGGACTATAGGAGACAAAACAAGGCTACTCAAAAAGACCATTTTCCACTACCTTTCATTGACCAAATGTTGGACAGATTAGCCAGAAAAGAGTACTACTGTTTCTTGGATGGTTATTCAGGGTACAATCAAATAGCCATTTCACCCGAAGACCAAGAGAAAACCACTTTTACTTGTCCTTATGGCACCTTTACTTTCAGAAGAATGCCATTCGGACTGTGTAATGCTCCTGCCACCTTTCAGAGGTGTATGATGTCCATATTTTCGGATATGCTTGAAAAATCCATTGAAATATTCATGGATGATTTTTCTGTATATGGGTCATCATTTGACAACTGTTTGGAAAAATTGAAAAAGAGTTTGGAAAGGTGTGAGGAGACAGACTTGGTCCTAAATTGGGAGAAATGTCACTTCATGGTCAAGGAAGGAATTGTTCTTGGGTACTTAATTTCAAAAAGAGGGGTTGAGGTAGATAAAGCAAAACTCGAAATTATTGAAAAACTACCCGAACCTACCACTGTTAAGGGAATTAGAAACTTTTTGGGGCATGCCGGATTTTATAGAAGGTTTATCAAAGATTTTTCGAAAATTTCAAAATCTCTCTGTTTACTCCTACAACATGACCAAAAATTTGATTTTAATGACGAATGCAAAAATGCGTTCAAAACCTTGAAGAAAGCTTTGGTTACCGCACCAGTGGTAGTTGCCCTTGATTGGAACAAACCTTTCGAAATCATGTGTGACGCGAGTGATTAGGCGGTAGGTGTTGTGCTAGGATAAAGGAAAGAAAAGGTGTTTCATTCAATTTGTTACGCAAGTAAAATTTTGAATGAGGCACAAATTAATTACACCACAACAGAGAAGGAATTATTCGCCATAATTTTTGCTTTTGAGAGATTTAGGTCCTACTTGATGGGAACAAAAATAATTGTGCATACCGATCACGCAGCCATCAAGTACTTGATCTCAAAGAAAGATGCAAAACCAAGGTTAATAAGATGGGGCTTTTATTGCAAGAATTTGACTTAGAGATACTTGATAGAAAGGGAGTAGAGAATCAAGTAGCAGACCACTTGTCTAGGTTAGAAGAACCTGAGACAGCAGGAATGGACATTAGTGATACTTTTCCAAATGAAAGAATCCTCATGATTGACCAACCAAAAACACCATGGTTTGCGGATTTAGCAAATTTCTTGGCTTGTGGAATAAAACCCTCTGATTACACAGGCCACATGTTGAAAAAAATCTTTCATGATGCTAAATCTTAACTGTGGGATGACCCATTTTTGTTTAGACTTGGTACAGATCAGATTTTGAGAAGATGCGTGCCTGAATCTGAAGTGGCAGCAATCCTGCAGCATTGCCATCATGCACCATACGGAGGCCATTTTGGAGGCCAAAGGATTGCAACCAAGGTTCTACAGTCCGGTTTTTATTGGCCAACCATTTTTAAAGACTCCCACAATTTTGAACAGAGGTGTAACGAATGTCAAAGAAGTGGCTCCATTTCTAAAAGAAATGAAATGCCATTAAATGGGATACTTGAAGTTGAATTATTTGATGTATGGGGAATAGACTTTATGGGTCCTTTCCCTCCATCAAATAATTGCCAGTACATTCTTGTGGCTGTAGACTACGTATCCAAATGGGTGGAAGCCATGGCATGTGTGTCAAATGATGCCAAAATTGTGGTTAAGTTCCTCCAAAAACAAATTTTCACACGGTTCGGTACCCCTAGAGCACTAATTAGTGACGAGGGTACCCACTCTATGAACAATTTGTAAAAGGAGTTCTTGAAAAATACAATATTAACCATAGAATTGTCATGGCTTATCACCCACAAACTAATGGTTTGGCAGAGCTTTCTAATAGAGAAATTAAAGGCATTTTGGAAAAAGTGGTCAAACCCAATAGGAAGGACTGGGCATTCAAGTTAGAAAATGCTTTATGGGCATACAGAACCATTTTCAAAACACCAATTGGTATGTCTCCATATAAGCTAGTCTATGGAAAAGTCTGCCATCTACCTCTAGAACTTGAGCACAAAGCATATTGGGCTATCAAAGAGCTCAATATGTCTTTGGATGAAGCCGGAAAGAAAAGAAAGTTACAACTTTGTTAAATGAAGGAGCAAAGACAAATGTCTTATGAGAATGCCAAGCTTTATAAGGAAAAGACAAAAAGGTGGCATGATAACAGAATCCAACACCGAGAGTTGAAAGAAGGACAAAAAGTCCTCTTGTTTAACTCTAGGTTGAAACTATTCCCGGGAAAGCTCAAGTCTAGATGGTCCAGACCCTTTGTCATTCATAAAGTTTACTCTTATGGAGCGGTTGACTTGATCAACCCGGAGGACAAAACGGTGTTTAAAGTGAATGGGCAACGAGTTAAGGCATTTCATGATGCTGTAGTATTCCCAGAGCATTGCTCTGAGAATTGGGCCACACCTTAAATGGATGTGTTTTGTGGACTCAACCGTCAACTTTTCAAAAGAAAAATGAAGGGGACATAATTGAGAAGAGACCCTTCATCTTTCCAAGAACCATCATCACCATCGCCGGCCTTTCCTCATCGGCTCCATCACTTCAACAAAACCCTCAATCACACCGTATTCTCACATCTTCACAAACCTACACTACTGTTTTATTGCAAAAGACATGGCCTGTTCAAAGAGACCTGTCATCGGAGACCCACCACCACCGCCGGTGCGAAGGAGTAACGCCGGTGAGCTGCTGCTTCATCTTCGTGATGGACGAGCGAGCCCGAGTGGGTGGACCTCATCGCCAACAGCCCATCATCGTCTCCCCCTATTGTCGCCGACACCCCTGCTCATACCCCAACCATTTCACCGGCAAAAGAAAACCCTAACTTGGGTATTGAGGTAAATCCTGTTATGAGCCCTAATTTCTTAATGGAGGGACTTACTGCTTCTGATTCCTCTGAGGGAGAAGAAGATTTCATGCAAATGCAAATATCATACCCCACTAATTTCAATGACACAAAAGTCTACCTATTAACTTGGAGTGATCATCACAACACTCATGAGGATATGGCCATAGATGAATCTGTCCCTCACAATGTTGAGGAAGAACCTGTTGAAATTGAACACTGTGCACAACCTGTTGGGGAGGAAGCCACTGATTCCCCAACATTCGAAATGGATTTGGAAGCCAATCTTAGGGGTATAACCACTATACCCACAATGAAAAGAAAAGGGCTAGGTAGGGTTTTCGCAACCAAGTCCAAGGCTGTGGATAAACATCCTCTTAGAAAGAGGGCCAAACGGATACCTGCACCTTCTGTCCAATCAAGGCACACAGCCTTTGTGCCACGAAAATCATCCCGAAAAGGATCATCGAGGCAGTCCGAGACAGCCAGTCCATCTGGTGTAAAATCCAAGCCCAAGCCCCAAACCATTACGAGGCCCCAGATGCCTTTTGATGGGTTCAGTTCAGAAAAGGCACGAGAAATGTTTGACAAGTTCAAAAATAAGAAAGTGTTGCCAGACAAGGGATTTGATCAAAGGAGCATCGAGGAATTTGGTTTTATACGGGAGGTGATGGACAAGCACGGTCGGCAAGCATTATGTGAGGTAAAAAATTATTTTAACTTGACATTAATTAAAGAGTTTTATGTGGAGGCTTGTGTCTACAGTACCACCAAGCTCAAAGTAAGGGGTGTTAGGGTAAGCTTTTCGGCTAAGGCCATAAACAAACTTTTAGGCATATCACCCCCGACTAAAACTGAGTATGGTACCCTCTCTCAAAAGGCTTCCCAAGCTAAATTAGAGGATATTGGTAGAGAGTTAGGAAAGCCCGGAGCCACATGGGACTCCCACAACAATTACATGCTAAAAACTTATAGGGCTTCTAACCTAACACCCAATGCGAATGTGTGGATGAATTTTATTCGACACTCTCTCCACCCGACAACTCACGATAGCTCCATTTCGGTTGAGAGAGTTATTTTACTATATTGTGTGGTTATGGGAAAATCAATAGATGTGGGGGAAGTCATTGAAAAGGCCATCCTATGTTGTTCAAGGAGGAATCAAGGGAAATTATTTTTCCCGGGCCTACTTAACAAACTTCTTTTGCAAGCGGGTGTCCCACAATATACAAATGACTTAGTGATCAAGGAGAGTGAAGAGAAGTGGTCAATCGATATGAAGGAAGTATCACGGCTAAGAAAGAGAGGTGACCAAGGAAGGGAGCCTACGGGGATGACAAGGGTCACGAAGGATTTGTTCGCACAAGGCATCAATCTGATGGACGGTTTGATGGACCACCGGGCTGAAATGGTAGAGAAGATTGATGGGATGCAAGCTGAGTTGATGAAGCAGTTAAAGGCAGGTGAAAGAAAGACAAAGAAGAGGTTTCTGAAGTTAAAAGAGGAGTTGAAAGAGAGAGTTGGTGGTAAGATCAAGAGACTACAAAAGAAATTGAAGCATTACAAGGCGGAGAATGAAAGGCTGAAGGATGAGATCATCGCGGGCACGACAGCCACGGCTGTCCGGAGCACACAACCTACTCTTTCGGAGTAGGGCAGGTTCTACCACGTACTTTAGTCTCCATATATTTATTTCTTTGAGTCGGGAATAGTCTTTAATAATTTTTAGTCTTATTTTTTATGCATGATCACTTGAGTTGAGTTATGTTGCACATGAGATCATAGCCTGAATAATTCTCAACCAAATCACTTAGTTCAAAACATGAACTAACAAACCACTTTTTGGGACAACACTTTGATCTACAATTCATAATAGGAAATGATATAGGCCTTCTTTTCTATACTCATATTAAGCCACTTGCACCCTTTCAAACACTATTTATCCCATAAAGCTCCAATGAGGACATTGTCAAATTTAAGTTTGGGGAAAGAGTTTATATAAGGACATAAAGTCAATACCAAAGAGCAAAGCTCTAATTTGACTCCTTATCATAAAAGGGTTTGGAAAAACACAAATAAAAGTCCTATAAGGGCTATGTGTTTCAAAATAGCACAACAAAGGTTCCATAGGGACTATGTGCACACTCCAATCAAAAGAGGCCAAAGAGCCCAAATTTTGAAAAATTCATATGTGGAGTATAAAAGGAAAAATGCTATTGAGAGAAAAGATACGCCAAAGAGAGTAAACCCTTTAAGCCCTATTGATCCTATATATGTGATTGTGTTTGAACTTAACAAAGAAAAAGGAATGCTAGCCTATGGTTCACATAAAATGACTTGGTTTTGAGTGACTCATCTTGAATTTATGAAAGGCTATGAGCCTCATGTTAGGTATAACTCTTGTTGGGTTGGCACTTAATGCCTTGATCATGCAAATTTTTTTTATAAATTGAGTCTTTTTATTTGTCTTTTGGTTGCTTGGAGACAAGCAACGATTTAAGTTTGGGGGTGTGATATGTGTTGAGAATTCAACACATAATGCAATTGTTTACGTCTTTTTAGTCAAAAATAGTTTCCTTTCATTCCCACTTTGAGTCATTTTGATTTATTTCTTTATACTTTTATTATGGAGCTAAAATATTGTGGTTAAACTTGTTGGGACGTAGAGATACAAGCTAACGGAGAATTTTTGTTAAAACAACCTAATGTTACAGCATTGCAGCAGCAGCCACCTAATACGTGCACGGTTTTGCGAAGGTTTAACGATTAAGCTGCTGCCTTTTGGATGCTGAATGGAAGACGGCTGCAATACAGCTGGAAGACTTTTTAAATCTGGGATTTTTGAATTAATATGTAATCTTGTACTTAAGATTCTCTTTGCTTATCTTTTGGACATTAACTAGTGGTTAATATTTTTGTTGTGTAATGCAAGGCCTTGTGTATAAATAGGGGGCTTAGCCTTGTGTTTCCACACACTTGAAAACATATCTCTAAGATCAAAATCAGCTGGTTAGGGCTGATTTTGAGAGAAACGTTTGAGAAATCTAAAGTTCTTGAGTTTTAAGCTTTCATCTTTTAATTCTTGTCTTTTAATTTCTTGTTCTTTATTTTATCTTCCTTTACATTTATTGTTATTTACTTTCCGTTATTTAATTTCCGCAATTTACATTCTTGTCATTTACATTCCCGTCATTTATTTTCTTGTTATTTATTTTCTCGTTATTTACTTTACGCAATTTACGTTTATGTCTTTATTTTCTGTCATTTATTTTTTACTATTCGTTATGAGTAGCTAAGCTTTTATAGCTTGGGTGTGAGATGGAAAGGTGAGATATTCAAACCAAACGAAAGTAGCTAAGTGTTTTCGTAAACGACGTTCCATTGTTTCATTCGAGTTTTTATAAAAACCAAGCACACTTCTTGACGGGTTGATCACTTCGAAAGTGTTAAAGTGCGATGGACTTAGAGATAAGCCATTGATAAGCATGTCAACTTGAATGACATAAGAGGTAGACTTGAGAAAGTTGCCGACAATGAGACTTGTCATTTATGTTTTTCAAAACTTAACTCCCGATGGGTTGGTCACTCTTCAAAAGTGTCAAAGTGTGATAGATTCAGAGATGAACTATCAAGAACACGCCAACTTGAATGATATGGGAATCGACTCGAGAGAGTGATTTTTAACAAAGAAATTTGTTTATCCATATATTTTGAAAACACCATCTTGTCACTATCCCTGGTCCGGACACCACGTAGAGATATGGGTGGAAATCTATAATATAGTGCAATGGTGAAGTTTGAGAGGAATGGAAATCTATAATATAGTGCAATGGTGGAACTTAGTTTCGAAACACTGCTTGCTGTAGCATTCCTATAGCATTGGCTGYTGGAATTT